AAGGAGAATTGACGCCTTTGAGCTGTGGTGCTAGAGGAGTATTGAATGTACCATGGACTGCCAAGAAAACAAACAGATTCATCATAGCGAGGGTTAAATCAGGCTGCTCCTTGGAGGCAAGGATTCTGGGGCTTCGTCTGACATACTTTGGATGTGTTGTAAGGAGAGACAGGTCTTTAGAGAGGGACATCATGCTGGGTAGAGTAGAGGGACAGTGCAGGAGGGGAAGACCCTCTATGAGGTGGGTTGATTCAGTGACTGGGGTAATCAGGATGGGTGTGTCAGAGGCAATGAGATTGGCACAGGATAGAGCAGGGTTTAGGGCTGTTGTACATAGGGTCGCTATGAGTCGCAAACGACTCGACGGCACATAACAACAACAACAACAATCTACAGTCAACACCATCAAGAAATCAAAAGACATGTTACATTGAGGAAATTTGTCAGGGACCTCTCCAAAGCGCTAAAGAGCTAGGCTATTTGTTTAAAGACTTAAGATGCATGTGGTCCAAGCCATGGTATTTGTAATTGCTTCCTATGCATGTGAAAGTTGAGCAGTGAATACGGCCAACAGAAGAAGGATCAGTGCTTTTCAGCTGTGTTGGAGAAGAATGCTAACTGCCCCATGGACGGCCTAAAGAGCAAACAAAGTCCTGGAGGAAGTGTGACCAGTTGCTCCTGAGAGGCAGAGATGGTGAGACTTGGTCTCACACACTTTGGGTTTGTTGTCAGGAGGGGCCTAGACATCATGCTGGAAGGATTGAGGGTCAGTGAGAGAGGAAGGCCCTCAACTGGATGGATTGACACGGTGCCTGTCACAGTGGGCTTGAGCATGTCCGAGATTGGGAGGAGGACTCACATCTGTTTTAATAAAAATGTATGGCTTTTGAAAAACTGGTGTTGGGCAGCACTTTTGGCTATCCCTGACATGAACAGTCTTACCAAACGTTGTCTGTGGTCTTTTAAATCATGTATTTAAAAAATCAAACCAAAGCGTCCCAACCCCGAGTATCCTGTCAGCTTTACTTTATTCTGCCCGTTTAGCCTCACTGTGTTTGGACCAGCCCCTTGGCTGGTTTTCAGAGACAGTTATTGCACAAGAGGAAACTGCCATCCTCTCACGGAGTAGCTGGTGGATTTGAACTACATGCTAGGCTTTTCTTCAGGACCCATTTCTCTGCATTTCAGTGTTCTGTGGAGACCATTTATTTAGATTCTGATTCAGTTATTCCGGAGATCAGTTCATCTTCTCTTAAATCCAGCTGTTACTGTCACACAGTCACACAGAAGTAGCTGTGACGCGTGTGTGTGTGTGTGTGAGAGAGAGAGAGAGCGAGAAAGACTGTGTGTTAAGGTAAAAAGTAAAGGTAGGTTTATTAGAAAGGGACAGACCTCCTTCCTTGAGAGGCCTGATGAAGAGGCAGCCTGCTAGAGAGGCAGGTTCTATTTATGGCTTCCTTCTTTGGGTGACCTTGCGGCTGGGGCCTGGGCCAATGAGAAGGTGCCATGGAGAGTTCAAAGTTCAGTGGGTGGTTCTCATTCTTTGGCCAGACTCCAATGCTCCTGACCTCAGGCCTGGGCCTAAATAGCACTCATGCATGTGAGTAGTACCTGCTTCCTGGTTCTGCTGGCTCACGTACCTTTTGCTTCCCATATATCATTAGTTTTAATCCTAACATTCCCCCCCTGGAGAAATAAAAGTTTAATTAAACTTAACCTTTAAATGATTCTCTGTAACCATAGTTTTTTTCTTTTCTTTTTTTCAGCATATTTTTCCCATTTAATTTTCTTTTTCTCATCCATTCATTGTTGCACATTTTCCTCCCTGCCCACCTCTACCCTCCAATTCGCGCTTCTCTTTGTAAAGTAAAAGAAAAATTCTTTCATTGTTATACAGCCCCTTCCCCCAAGTCCACTCCACTGTGCACCTTTCATTTTGGACTCCTGTCATAACAGTAATACCTAATCATAGTTTCCTTTTTCTCTCCCTCATGTTTCAATGAAGTATACATCATTCATCCCCTCCTTCTGTGTCTTACCTCAGCCTCCATGTCAGCACCTTTTTACAACATTGGAACTATATAATATTTGTCCTTTTGTGACTGAGATAATTCACTCAGTATAATGTCCTCTAGGGTCACCCATTTCATG